GGCCTCGAAGCACAAGGAGTTCGGGAGGTGATGGAGGGCATGAAGAGGTTTATCCAGGGGGCACCGCAGGAAGAGTTCAAGAAGATTGCTAGTGGACAGAAGAGACACAAGTTGTAGACATCCTGGGTGTCGGCAGAACAAGATTGGTTGACTGAGGGCGTGTCAATGCTCACCGCTAGGGTTGTGTAGAACCAACTCAGAGTTCAAAAGTGCTGTACATGAACATACTCACTTTCTGCAATATAAAACAAACCTCCTACATGAAGTGATTCGTCCTGACTGTCACTTATTCTGCGAAGCATTGCCGTATTGCGTTCTCGGTATCTGAAGGCTCTCTTCCCCTCTTCGCTCCTCGCGTGCCATACACTCCAGGAATATCCACATCTGCATGGCGGAGTCCTGTGTGCGTGGGAAAATACATGCTCTTATGCTCTCCCAACGTATATTCGTCTTGACGTGGCATCACCTCCTCGTATCCATGTGTCCACTCCATTACTGGTTCCTCTTCTCTTGAGCTGTGCTCACAACTTGTTGTGCGGCAAACCTTGCTCCACAGAAGGCAACTAGCCGATTCACGAGGTGAAAGACCAGCATGGACATACAAAGCAGCGAGCAGCGACAAGCTGAAAAGCAGCAGGAGCAGTTGTTTCGCTGGTTCATGAAGTGGACTAGTCAGGCCTCATTTGTCCCAAGTCGGTCTATGGCGATACAGCCTTTCGGCCTCGACGAACACCAGCATAACCCGTTTGAGGGACCAGGGGTCCCCTGCCGCCTTGCGCTCTTCTCGCTCTTGATAAAACCCAGATGTCGATAGGACCATTAGTTTCCCGCTTCGCCACAGGGTAAAGGCCTGAAGCGGCCATGTTGTCGGAGCACTACTCCACTGGTGGCGGAAGTGAAAAGCAGCGAACACGTCTGAGATGAAAAGCAGCAGCAGAATGAACTTTGCTGGTTCACAAAGATGTTCCTTTAAGGAATCAATGTCGCCAGATTCATGCTCCTGGATACCTTGTGCCGCTGACGGGAGTGACTTGGCCACAGCTGCTGTGGTAACTGGTTCATCGTGACCCTGTCATCTCGGTCGAGGCTTACTTAGCTTCTCTCAGCTTTGGTATAGACCCAGGGGAACAACTCCCGAACGCGGTGGTATCAGCCAGATCTACTCCACAGTTTGCGCAGGTCAGCGGTGTCATCAAAAGCAGCAATCGGCCTAATTGCAAAGCAGTACGAGAAAAGATGGCAAGCCACGAAGAGCGATACCACGTGGATGAATGTAGTTCAGCCGTGATATGTAATTGGAGGTTGAGTTGGTGAGTTTGATATCACGCTGACCCGAGGCGCAAAAAGAGCGGGATGTCCAGGATGCCTTAGGCCGTTCAGGGCAAGTTTTGATTTCCTGAAACAGAAATTGGAGCTTGCTCTTTTGCCGTGGCGGTTCTCACCATTTCCAAAGCATACGCATATATCCTGCCACTTTTAGTGCCTCTGAGGTCATCTTGGAGCGGCGACTTGTCTACAACCAACTGCTATACTCCCCCTTTCCCTCATCCTTGCATCTCCGTGGACGACCAGCATGCAGGCTTAAAGTGACAAAACTCAGATACTGCGCCAATTGCTCTTCTAGGCTTCTTTGTCAGCGGTTCCAAGATCAAATATCAATGCAAAGAATGTCATATCGCATCTCTAGGCAAACTCTCAGAAGTGTCCTGTTGAGCTTGAGATATCTGTGTTTGTCAGATGACGTTTCAATAGGTCTGTATAATGAGGCGTAATTGGATCTGGGGGCTTGTTCACGGGCTAAGCTACAGCTCGATCTTGAACTGTGTCGAGTTGCTTGAGCCTTTGTATTCACTCATCTTGTTCGAGCATCAGGTCAGGTATATATAGCAGTTAAGTCCCTATATCCCCATCACGTCTTCGAGTCGGTCAGTAGATATCAGAGAACCAAGCTCAAATTACTTCTAGCACAGACGACCATCATACAGTCCATCCCCCATCGACCCTATTATTCAAAATGTACACGACTCTGCCTAATGGCATCAAAGTCTTCTATCGGGAAGCAGGCTCTCCAAGCAAACCCACGATTCTCCTGTTACATGGTTTTCCATCCTCCTCAAACCAATACCGGAAACTTATCCCTATTCTCGCCGATAAATACCATGTTATCGCTCCAGACCTACCTGGCTTTGGTTTCACAGAAATACCTGCCTCCTTGAACTTCGAGTACACTTTCGCCAATCTCGCGACTACAATCGGAGCCTTCCTTGACGTTCTCAATATCCGGAAATTCGCGGTGTATGTGTTTGATTATGGTGCCCCGACAGGATTTCGCCTGGCGCTTGAGCGGCCAGAGGCTATCACCGCCATCATTTCTCAGAATGGCAATGCCTATGAAGAAGGCTTGTCGTCGTTTTGGGATCCTCTTCGGAAACTATGGGCTTCTGATACCGGGTCTGACGAGGAGAAGCAATTGCGCGAGATGATTTCGGGCGCCGTCTTGTCTTTTGAGGCCACAAAGGATCAGTATCTGAACGGAGAGCCCGAAGCTGAAAAGATTGATGATCCGGCGACATATCATCTCGACTATGCCCTCATGTGCCGGCCGGGCAACAAGGAGATCCAACTTGATCTATTCAGGGACTATGGCACTAACGTCGCACTGTATCCCAAGTTTCAGGCGTACGTGCGGCAGAGTAATGTGCCTGTGCTAGCGGTATGGGGCAAGAACGATATCATCTTCCCGCCTTCGGGAGCGGAAGCCTTCAAGAGGGATGTGAAATCCCTGAAACTGGTGTTGCTGGAAGGTGGACACTTTTTAGTCGAGAGTCACACGGAAGAGATTGCGAAGCTGATGCTGGATTTCTTGGCCGGGCAGGGGATTTGATCGACTATCAACCGTGGGATGAAAAGACGGATGACATTCGGAAGCACTTGCATCTTCTTAGGTACTAATACACTCGAGTAATGTTACAGTCAATCAATGGTTATCACCATCACTGTCAGTGGATTCTGCAATGGTCGTGGCTATACCAGAACCAAAAGCCTGGTGTTTTTAATTTTGGTGCCCTTTGACCAGAACACGGTGTAGCAAGGATATCTTGGCCGTCCTCCAAGACGACCTTTGTAATATCGAGACCACTCGGTTTCTCGACGCCCTCAATCCGAGTACGTGTATCCTGCAGGACCAGAAGAAACATTACGTGGGTGTTACATCTGAACATCGGCTGAGTCAGTCAATGCCAAGGAAACCGACTGGCCGATGGTCGATTGGGCTCTAGACCTCGTCGCTGACAAAGTTGGGTGACAGCGACGTTGCAGAGCCCCAATGCCACGAGGGTGAAAGGCCGGAGTGTCTGTGAAGCGAAAGACTCCGTTGGAGGAACAGCTTCAAAGTATAAATACACAGGTATAGTCTGTTCAATGGACTGCGAGAGCATGATCAAAGTAGATTGTGAGGGGGAAAACACCTCGGTTTCTGACCAAATATTGTGCTCACGATGCCAGCCTCGTTGCGCATTGAAATATTCCCATCTGACCTCCAACGGATGATTGACTTCTATTCCACCATCCTCAACTTTGTCTTGATCAAGCGGAATGGCGACTACGCCTACCTCGGGCGCGACAACATCTTCATCGGCGCCATCGAGACAGGGTCGACCGAGACGCTTGAAGAGAAAGCAAGTTACCGCCGCCCGATGAAAGGAATTGAGATAGTAGTCGAAGTGGACGACTTGGAAAAGGAGAGAGACTTGATTGTTGCCAAGGGATGGAAGCTGGACGCCGACATCCAATTGCAGGATTGGGGACTGAAGGATTTCAGATTAACCGATCCTGACGGGTACGTGAACTGCCGTTGTCTTACATCAGGCCAGCCTTGACATGCTGTTCTATCAGATACTACCTGAGGTTCACAACACACAGCCCGAAGCGCGATGGGAAAGGCGCATAGCGTGGCCTGCGTGGCACATGGGAAAGCAAGTGTCACATGCAGCTACTGAGGATCTCCGCAATAAGAGCCTAACAAGGGAGAAGATTTCCCAGATATCCATTTAGAAGGCCATGCTATTCTGCACTTTTGAGGGAGAATGACGAAGTTTGGTGCCGTGGTCCTCGGTCGAAGAGCGCCTTGGGGTGGTTCGTAGCCGATGCTCTTAGTGGTTGGCGTGATCGGGCGTGATTGCTCCCTGTCATTGCTGGTGAGCTGCAGCAAGCGAGGAAGAACCCGGGTTTCACATGGCACAAATCATCCTTGTAGCAAGTTGTGCTTGTCGTCATACGTCATGATAGAAAAGAAAGACAGCCACAAGTCGTGTCTGTGGTCGGATCTAAGTTCCTAAATCTCGAATGACGAAGCCCCAATGAGATACGAGCGCCACAAGCAAGCCACGATCAGCCACAGGCAGCCGCATAGCTTGTGGTATAATTGGTGGAAATTGTTAGCGCAGTTGTGGGTCCTTTCCACCTCATGTCGTCACCCCTCAAGTCATGGATCTACTCTTTGTTCAGCATTGACTTTTACCTTCCTGGGTTTGGTGGGCAGGTGGTATCCAGGACGTGTAAGTGGGTGTCAGCAGGTCAGAGGACGTCATAGTATCTCCGAGAGCACTGTGGTGGTCATCGGTGGCAGAGCATCCCGAATGACCTCAGATTGAATCAAGCTGAAATCTTAGACGCGATTTCCTTTGTTTGACTCTGGTTGCGGAGCAATGTGACTGGCTATCCAGGCAATTGAAGTGGGGGATTCGAAGGTAGCCCAAGGAAGGAGTCAATGACCGTGAAGAAGGAAGTCACACGTGAAAGTCGTAACGCGGGGCAAGCAGGCAAAGTAGGCAAACGGCAGTGACATCGTACGCAGACTCATTCTGCTCGACTATAAGTATCTCTCTCTCTTCCTCATTCCACTTCCACTTTCTTTCCATCATCCACCAGACCGTTTCTCAAAATCCATCAAATTTCTCACATCAACCCAAATTCAAATCAAATCACAAACTTCATCCACAATGGATACCATCAAGAACACTGCCAAGTATGTTGCCATTCTACGTGTTACCATGTCTTCGTGATATTGATGCTTCTATAGCTACGTCGGTGACAAGGTCAACGAAGCCACCTCTGGTGCTTCCAAGGAGGCCAACAAGAACGTCGCCAAAGACTCTGATGCATCCCTCGGAACCCGTGCTTCTGCAGCAAAGGACGCCGTTGGTGACAAGATTGACGAGAGCAAGAACTCTGTATGTCCCTCATCGTTGTCCTTCTTTGTCATCATCTAACAAATGTACAGGCATCCGCTGAGGGCAACAAGCAAGCTGCTACTCACTAGACGTCTCAACCTTGGGACTACTTCTCGACCTACAATACCCTCTTGCAACAGTTCCAAAGAATGTTTTCTTACCTTACGGTCCAAGCGGTTGAATGATGGTCAATACACAACCTGGCGGTATCCTTGCAGGTGGTTTTCACGAGCTTCGATTATGACAGTGTAGTTCCTATGACGCTCATGCTCAAGTGAGCAATGGCACCGCATCAGGTAGCTTGAATCATATGATATTGTAACTCATTATGTTCAATTGACCGTTTGAAAATAATTCATCGCTTCTCATATCGTCGCGTCAAAATATATGCCATTCATACTTGACAATCAAGTGAACTTGCCTCTTTATTGATTCGTGTACGAGAGTGTTTTCTTTCATACAGGCATGTGGGCAGTAGTCGACTTTGGTTGTAGTTCAGTGATTGGCGACATTTATATGAACAAATCGACCAGGTAGAATATTGTATTTGCTATGCAAAATTATTCTCAGACACACCAACGTAATAAAAGAGGGATTCATAGTCACAAACGAACCATGGAAAGAAAATCCTCGCAAGCACAGCCAGTGGAAGTGAAATATATCAATTCGGTTAAGAGTGGGTGAAGCAAAATCCGCTGTGGCCTCTGGTATTTCTCCTCCGTCCACTGTCACTTTGTTGCAAGTGTCTATCTAATACGCGCTTTCTATCGCATGACGGGACTGGACACAACAACAATTAACATTTGCGCGCCACGAGATCCTCTCGATCACCCATCATCCTTTCCCAAATGTGTCTACGCAGGAAGACCGGATCAACAACGCAACACCACCCACCACCACCACCATGCAACGCCGGGCCCGTGGCCGTTCCTCCTACTCGTCGTCGTCGAACGAGACGGTCCTCGAAGCGTGCTCCTCCCCGCCGTCAGGGTACGCTCTAGCTCTTACAGATGCCGAGCAGGGCATGTTGCCATCGCAGACGTCGATCGTGGCGTTGTCGCGACGCCTTGCTTCCAACCCACCGGAGGCCGCCGGCAGGACAGGTTACAGTCATAATGTTGCGAAAGAAAGAACCGTCCCTGGAGAGAAGGAGGCAGAAGAAATCGAGGGGAACGATGCACACGGACACGATGACTCCGAAGAGTCGATTGATTGGGACGCGGACTCGGATCAAGACACCGTTCACAACGCACCTCAACCTCGTCGAGTCGTGAGACGTGCGATGTTACCACAGACCATGGGCTTCCACCTGGACTGGTGGATTGCGCGTGTAGCCACGGCGGCGGTCAATGTGAGTATCCTCTCCCTCTCTCTTCACCTCCGGTCTCAAAAGGGCTTTCGCCATTCTTATGAGCTTGGGGCCCCCTCCATTTCACTCGCGAGAAAAATCCGAAATGCTAACCTCTGTCCATGAGTCCCCGTAGCTGGACTTCAAAGTTCTGTGTGCCAGTATGATGTTGTGGAGGGAGAAGAACGAGGTGCTGCAAATCCCCACCTCTCGTACGAAATCCGTACCGCAGACGCTAGGGCAGGAACACGATTCCTGCGCAAATTCGCCATTGTCGCAGAACACCCGGCGGTCACCCTCGCAAGGCCCACTACTCCTCGAAGGTGCGCACCGATGCTCAACGTCAATGTTGGACTGGGATGTTTTGCTGAAAAGCATCAAGCGAGCGAGCGAGCTGATGCATAGGAGCCGCAAGTGGAGGATCAGAGGAAAGAAGAATGCCGCAGGCTGGTGTAGGTGGGGGGCTGGACGACGGGTATTTCACAGAGGCGAATTCGTCGAGGAAGCCGAGGTTGGATATGAGGTAAAAAGGGAGGTGGACGGCCAGACATGGATGATCAAGCTGGGATACCGGAGGAATGATGCGGTAGTGGAGGACATGGATCTGGACGGCGGAATGGATAGTGCTGATGAGACTATTGCTACTGAGCAGGGCGCTGGCGGCGAAGAAGTGCCCCAGGAGACTTTGGACAGCCTTGTAAGAAGCAACAGCGGTGGCGTCGACGTCGTGATGGGAGAAAGCCCCGGTCGATGACAAGCATTTGGTCAGGCATTCTCTGCATTCCATCTGACACAGTCTTCGAATCTGGCTCCACTTCCGCCAAAGATGTCCAAAGCACTGCCGATGGTCAAATCGACCTTGCCTTGACTACACTGCTTCACCAGATCCAGATCCGCCACCGTGCGGGCGCCACCAGCATATGTCACTGGTATCGTGCACCAGTCGGATAACCTCGTGACGAGCTCTGTGTCGATGCCCTGCTGAAGACCTTCGTTGTCGGCTGCATGGATGAGGAATTCCGAACAGTAGGGCTCGAGCATCCCGATGCTCTCTGCGGTGGGTTTGTGTGAGCGTATCGAATTGGGAAAAAACAGCCACATCGCGAAGGATCCATACCTCTGGTGATCTCCATCTCGGTGATGGTCTGCCATTTGTTCATGGCGACCAACCACGTATCGCCCTTCCTCCTGCAGCTGAGGTCGATGACGAGTTTGTCCCTGTCGTCCCCTAGCGTCGAGAGCACGGATTTCAGTCGATCTAGGGAAAAGCGGCCGCTCGGAAACAGGAACGACGTGATAATGACCTACTGCTTGGTGTTTGAGCGTTAGATATGTCTGTTATTTTGGGGACGGATGAACGGGAGTGGATGCGAGTTCGGCGATGATGATGAGCAGGGGAATAAATCGCCTTATGCTTACCTTCTCGGCGCCAGCGTTGATCCATTCCTTTGCGTTGGCATCGGTGATGCCACCGCCCACCTGAAGGCGTCCTGGCCAGGCGGCGAGGGCCTCCTTCGCAGCCTGTTCGTTGCCCGGCCCCAGCATGATAACATGAGCGCCCGACAGATCGGCGTCGCGGTAAAGAGTCGCAAAGTGTCCAGCCGGATGGTGCGAGATGTAGTTGGTCTTCAGCTCGGATTCCTGGGCGCTCAGGGTGCCGCCGACAATCTGTTTGACCTGGCCGGCATGGAGGTCGATGCAGGGTCGGAATCGGGTCATGGAGGAGTAAGTTTCTGTAGCGAATGGACTGATGATGTTTCAAGATCCCCCGTTCTGGGCTGGAGGGTCACTGATGTTGTATAGATAGGAGGCGATGTGGGATTACAGTGCAATTATTGAGGGAAGTGGGGGATTTAGATAAATTTTTCCCCAGAGAAGATCAAGTATTAATTCGGATCTCCGCAACGGAGAAGACATACTGACTTCCATCTGGTCATCTTCGGCGTGGGTTGCACTGATAATCTACTCTTGCTAGACCTAGTAGACCTCCTCGTCTCACTGGCTTCCTCTTCCTTGCTCACAAGGTCAATGAGACAGCCGTGCTTTCGGGCTGGTGCTTCTCATTCTGCCGCCTAATTCCCTCACGCTTGTAGTAAGCAGTGTACCCTTCTCCATTGACATTGCGAGCAGTGCGTCCGAGTCCAGGTCTATAATATGCATGGGGTAACACTCGAGTCACCTCACCGTACGGCCAGTAGTGACCGCCCTCTGATTTTCTGTTCCCAAACCCATTAGGAGCGCCAAACTTGATCCAAGGCTTGAAGAGGAGCAAGGCGCTGGCAGGGCTGGTTGAGCTGCGGTGTGACTGCGGCACACGAAAGATTCCGCCAATCAAAATTCGACGCGTTGGGGGCGCATGGGAAACCGGAAACTGGAAACTTTTTGGATCAGCCCCGAATTCTGTACGATGCCGTCAACAGCACCATTTTCCAACTCTGACTCTGGCTTAAAGTATGACATCGACGTCTCGTTGTTGAATCTACATCACCAATACCTGTTCTCAACTATGTTAGGGAAGCGGAAACGGGAAGTCGCTGTTACGACTCGACAAAGATTGCGCTCTTCCGACCGGGAAGACGACGAACGACAGACTCTCACAACGCCTCTCGACGCCAATCGAGAAATATTCCGCAAATATTTCGAGTCCGCTTTCGAACCTCTGCCAGAGATTAAGACTACTGCGCTCCTTGCGCCAGAAAAGGAGGAAGAGGAAGAGAGTCAAGGCGGTGTAGGGGACTGTGGTTTGGTCGAGGAAGAGTCGGAGTGGGATGGCCTCTCAGATTCAGGTTACCAGGACGGCGCAGTTGAGGTTGTGGAACATCGCGCAGCCAGTGACCTGGCGGAAGAAGCTAAGACTCGTAGGCAACACTACAAGACCTTCATGGTGAGGAGGAAGTCCCTACTTCGACTGAGTGGTTACAACTTTGGACTGACCCTTGCGACAGAGTTCCCGGCCCCCAAAGGAGATACAAGGTGTAGTCACCAAAGATTCAGCCAGGCAGGGCGACGATGATGACGCTGCCGAAGCCTTGAATCTCAAACATGACCTTGACCTTCAACGACTCCTGAAAGAATCCCATCTACTCGAGCAAGCAAAGGCATCACCCACACTAGGATCCCATCGGCACAAGATGGTGGACATGCGAATGCAGGCCTTGGGTTCAAAGGGGTCCATGTTTCATCAAGAGAAGATGCCGCTGGCGCATAGAAGGGGGATCCTTGCGAAGGCGGCAGAGCGGGAGGCTAGTCGGAGAAAGGAGGCCCAGGAGAATGGCATCATCCTGGAGAAAGCCTCCGGGAAAACGAGGCCCAAAGACACCCGAAGAGAGCGTGGCGTCGATGTCCCTGCTGTGGGCAAATTTCGAGGAGGAACTCTGACGCTCAGCAAGAAAGACGTCTTCGATATCCAGGGACAGGGTTTTTCTAAACCACGTGACAAGACTCGACGACGATAATGATGATTATGTCCATTCACCGCCTGACTTCGACTGCATACATCTTGTAAAGAGACGCGAAGTCAGCTCCATTTACAGTATTTCTTCTCCTGCGCACTCCGCACTTCGAATAGAGGGAACGTTGGCTTGTGCGAGGCACTCGCTACCTTACTAAGATCTCCGTTCTGCTGATATCACCGCTTCGCTAGGCTCAACCGGAAGTGTCTCTCTCCCCGGCGCTCACTCGCATGTCCCTAGAAATCCCCAGAGAAGAAAGGGCGGGCATTTGTCATGAACAAAGTGACAATGACTTGTCGTAGCGAGCTCTTCCGAGGGCCAGCAGCACAGTCTGAAACACGTAGCTTGATTTTTCCACTCCTCCTAGCGGCTCAAATCAAGCATGAGTTCTGATGTTACACCATTGCTTCAGCCTTGGCTCAGTAGGGTAGAAGGCCGGCGCCGATAATGGAAGTACTATACGAGCGTCTGGGGATTTTGCTCTCTGGAATGTTTCACATTGACCTGGAGTCGGCCTGGGTGAGTTCTGGGCAACAAACATCCCGGCCAGGTACTCGGTACAGCAAGTGGTGATAGCTGTCGCTGACTGTCTCGAGCTGATCGCATCTAGATTCCGTCCCCGGTCCCTTCGCTAGGGCGCAATGGCCATTTGTCGGAGATTTGCCAGGATTAGCCATGTTCGCTGCAATCGCGCCACCTTTTCGCAGTTGGTAGTGACCTCAAGCGTAAGACCAGGAGCTTCTGTATGTTTCAAGAGTCATGGACGTCCACGAGATCAATGGAAGGCTTATTCCCCAAGCTTGATGAATGCCACGAATCGCGTATTTGAACATTCCCTCGAATTCCTTGCAGCATCGATCGGCTCTCAAGGTTTGGGGGCTTTGTAAAATCGCATAAATGAGTGGCCAACGAGAGCGTGCTCGTAGACAGCTGCAGTGATGATGTGCATCCCGAGTCTTAGTTGTGGTGGTTGGCCCAATCACTTCAGCCTCGGAGAAAAACCCATCTCGGGAAGCCAGTGACACTGGAGTTGACATCTCTCAGGGCTAAGGTTTGCCCCTTTTGTGACTAATGTGGCTGTCGAGGCGTGCAGAACCTGAAACATAGCACCATCGGTCGGCCATTTTTAGGGGGAGTGGCGCGTGCGTCGAGATTCTGGAGACGGTGAAAAGCCGACTAGGTAAAAAGGGCCATCGTCGAGACTGAGCTTCGATAAGCTATCACCATCCATCTTTTGGCACGCCTGGACTCGTAAAGTCCTGATCTGAAACCGTTGGTCAAGCGAGGTCGACCGATGGCTGTCCGCGCCAGTTTCAGTTCCATCGTGGTCAGCTGGATTTGACCAAGGACCGGGGAGAGCGCGAAGACATTTGAATTGTAGTACCTCGTACGTACGAGATACCGTAGAGACCAACCATTGTCGAAAGATGGTGAGTAGGAAGGATTGTGGAGCTGTGTGTGACTGCGGTCAGCTAATGAAGTAGCATTCATTGGTGTGCGGCGATGGAAGACAAGTTGAACGCAGACGTCTGGACCAAGTCCGTCACGTGTACTGCGCCGCGATTTGCTCGTGCCTACGCACACCATCTACTCAAGTCAACAGCGAACACACCAATCACGCTGGCAAGACGAAATGTATTTTTTTTGGGTTCCTGCGATGCTCCTTTTCTGTCCAACATGATTCCAAGCCTTCACACATTCGAGATGATATGGTGGCTGACCAGGATTTACCACGAGCAAGCGTTCGGGTCGTCCTTATCGTTGGTGCGCTCGTTGAACTTTGACATGCTCATACTCCCACGTCGTATCTCCGCAGTGTCATCGCGCGAGTTAAGCAATGGTTGACGAACCTGGACATGCGTGAACCGCATTCGGTGAAGAAATGGATACAGACAATCACGCTTATGGGGTCGGGGATTTTCTTGTGTCAAGCTATTGAAGATCATCTCGCTATTGGCCATATCAGAAAAGGGGGCAGACATGGAAGATTCAAACTCATGGGACCCCCATCTTGCATTGGGTTTCGTTCCGAATTTTTCCCTGCGAAAGGTTGCAGTTGTGGGCGTCCAGAGGTCGGGAGCAAACTGATCCCAGCGTCAACAAGGATAATCGTGGAATCCCATCCCATGAATGCGGATGTCGGCACCTCAGCATACAGGGTCTACGAGTCTACGACGCTGTCCCGCGCCTGTTTGAGATGTGTTTCTGAATAACCAAGCCGTTGGTTGAATGGCTTTTGGCGCCAGAGTGGGCGGACAGTAGTCCAAGACAACCGCCAATGCGAGACTATTCGTCCAAGCGATCCGCCGTTCCTAGCCACTCGTTTCATCAGTTCACGACTTCAACGTTCACATTGCATGATTCAGCGAGACGCTGACCGTGGGATAGACTCCTCCGCTGGTGCGATAACCCCTCTTATACGATCAAAATAGCAACCTGCCCGAGCTCATGAGCTCCGCCGTTTGTCTTGTCCGTAACCATACCGAGGAATACTATGGTGTTTTGTGGATATGAGTTGCACTGGCAGATTTTACACATCTTTCCGGTAAAGGTATGGATTCCGAGTACCGTCGCCGCGATTTCGCTTCGACGAGCACTCAGTTGCCACGGAGGTCCTACAACACCACGGATCAAAGTAAATAATATCTCACCTTTTCTGGAAACGGAACATCGGCTGCAGTATGTTTCAGTCACCCGCCAGATCGAGCCGCAAGGTTACTACTGAGTAGATCACGGATTTTGCAAATCCCGAAGACAGATGGCTGGAAGGTTTCCGGGGGCGGAGCAGATGTGGTACGTGGTGGTGAAGGTCAACCCAGACAAGTTCTTGATCCCTGAAGGGAGAAGAGATCAACAACCAAAGCAAGTGGTGGAGCAAGTGTATTGGTACCTGTTCTAGCGTGGATTTTCTTTGGAGTGGGACAGGAAAGGCAGGCTAAGGAGCGGCTACTGTGAGCTTTCGGCGCAAGCGAAAAGAGCAAATGCCAGGAACCAAGGGGGACAAGGTCGCCATTCAGCCGCCCCCTTGACTGTCGAGGCGGCAAGCCGGGCTCCAATGTTATGCGGTTATACGATAGGGAGTCAGCCCAGGTCGGTGCCTGGCATCCCTTGGACAAAGAGCTGGCTGGACGGACCGGGAGGAATGGCATCAATTGGTGCTACTGTGTGCTGAGCACAGGTGTTGCCCTCCCTTTACCTTCCATGGCGCCCAGGCCTGCCTAACAAAGCTGTCATCCGTACCTGTAGAATACCTGGTACCCTGTCCAA